TCTTCAAAAGTTCAGTCTATTATAAGAGTTATGGCCCAGCAGTGACTCCGAATAGTAACGTTTTACGACCCACCGCCTGTCGCCATTGTGTCGCTTGTTACTCTTGTCTCCGAGTAGTTTAAGAGAACAAAGATACATATGGTTTTTATCAAATCTGTGTGTGATAATGGAGATTTGCGATAGAATGTTATTCATCACTAGTGTCGACATCGTCTTGCTTTAACGTCGCCGCCATGTTAATAATTCAGAAATGTTTCAAATTTTAAAGGTTGGATTTTCATAATAGTTTGACGTCATTAATGTCGGTTTCATACAGGTGTCTTCCTCCTTTAAGGTTCTGTTCGAAAAAAGCCTCGTGTTCAAAGCGTGCATGCTTAAGGTTTGCGCTTGTTATGTTGTCCACATGTACACATTTAAGATTTGTTTAAAAACATGTTAACGGCTTTTAAAGAAAGCATGATATCTATCTACAAGTTTCACGATTTTGTAGGGTTTAGTTGAAACAGGTTTTGATATATTTATAAATTTTCTTATAGACAATATCACCTATGATGCACGCTTTGCACAATATGCTGACGTGAAAACTGATAGGTTCAAATGAAAATGATGCGCATTTGACTTCGTAGCAAAAATGACATGTTGGCGGCAAAACACACGTGTCTGACGCGTGTTTCATTTCCACAGTATTACACTTCTTAATAATGGCAATTGTCGGCACAGGCCGAACGCACGTGTCAACACGTGCACCAAGTATGTGAATACATTGTACAACAAATAGGGAGAAGCAAATTTACAGTCCCCAAGCTGTTAGAATTAGTTCTACTTAATTTAATTTAAACGAAGAGCAAAGGACTTTTTAAACAGCGACGCATGGTCTAAACACTCCTGCCTAACGGGCAGACGAGGGGTATTCATGACACGTGTTTTGCCATTTCAAAATCAATGATAACATAAATTGGTGATGATTTTATCTTCCATTACTGGTATCGTGATAAAGGCTATGACTCTGTGATATTAATTAAGCAGTCATTAATTTCTCCACCCTTATGTCTGAGTAGCATGTCCCTGATATATGTTCTGCTCTAGGTTATCAAAACCAATCTGATTTTTGTACAAATTATGCTAATGAGAAATCTAAGTATATAATGTGTTCTATATCAAATACCACTTAATTATGAATACATTTTAAAGGGTAATCATTTCTTCATTTTGATAACCATATTTCTGTAATAATACAGCCAATTATATCTTAATAATTTTAGATTCTTTAAAAATGCAGACAATTTTATCTTAATGATTCTCTAAATATTCAGAATGTTTTATCCTAAAGATTCAAGATTCTCTCTAAAATATACAGACAATTTTATCATAATTATTCAATATTCTCTTTAAGTATACAGACAGTTATATCTTATTGATTCAAGATTCTTAAAATATTCAGATACTTTTATCCTTATGATTCAAGATTCTCTAAATATACAGACAGTTTTATCATAATGATTCAAATTTCTCTTAATATTCATACAATTCAATTTAATGATTCATCATTTTGTAACCACGGAGGCAATTTTATCTTACCTATTTATGATTTCAAGTTTGTATTAACGGTTTATGCTTCTGTAAACATACAGGCAATTTCGTCCTAACCTTTCGTGTGTTTTGTAACAGGAGGGATATATAATTGTAGCTAGCTTCTGTATCCCTGTGACCAGGGCCCACATTCATGAAACCTTTCTCATGCTCAAGCATTGATTATGTGCTCATATCAGACCAAACTAATTACAACTCACTTAAATCCTGCGACACAGCCAAAACGTCAAATGTAAACACTGCATATAGAGTTAGGCTTCAAGACTCTCACTTATTCCTAAAACTCACGGAAAGAAATGTGATGTGTGAATGATTAATCGGTAGGAATAAGAAAATGGACTTGAGCACAACATTTCAGTTTGAGACTCAGAACAGTTTCATAAATACGGGCCAAGGTCTATTTCGCCTGGTGAAACAGAGGGAAACAAAAACCTTGCTATTCCCCACTATCTTATACTTTTTTAAAAGTTGTTTTGCTATGCTTATACAAAATACACGCGACATTTTAAAGACCAGTATTCCAACCACATTTCCCGGAAATCACATTTGAGGAAATCACGGAAATTGCCGAGGGAGTTAGTCTGCACCACCGAAACCTGCCAATGAGGTTGTCTGCACGGGGTTTTTAGTTTTCGTTCTAACAATCTTCTGATGGAGGAAAAGCTCCATGAACAGCGAACACGTGATAAAAGCAAGATTATAATAAAGAAAAATACAGTTAATGAAATAGAGGTAAATATTGAAAAAGAAGAAAATGTCCTCGACATTTGTCCATATTAAAAAAATCTTCCAATTAGTTTTCCCCAAATAAAAAGCAGTTACTTTGTTCCGCTAAAAACATCCCCCCCCCCCCCACACACAAAACAACTTTTTCTTGAAACCCCTTTGTACCTCGTTCCCTCAATCCGTCCCCAATCCACTCCTCTTCCATATACTTATCTCTGTATGTATAGTATTAGTCAGTGCCGTACTTTCGCCGCTTCATAAAAAAGGAGACGGATTATCATAAATACTTTGTACTTGCTTTCGAAGCCTATATGTATATTATATTTGTATTACTGGAATATTATACCGACAATCAAATAAAGTTTAAAATAATAAGAGTATACAAAGTTTCTATGTAACTGCATGATAGAAATCTCAGCAATGAATAAGAACACATATGGAGAAACGACGATGTCGGAAAGTGTGGACAACGTTCGGAAATTAGCACTATGACCTAAATAGGCTGTTCATCCTTGAAACCACAATCTGGACCCGTATTTATGAAACGGTTCTCCTGCTAAAGTATAAATTTTGTGCTGAAGCCTTATTTCTTGTTCCGGTTATAACTTGATAATAAAATCTGAATTTGTCAATGGTTTGGTACAAAATTGAAGAGACTTAAAGTCGAACACGGTTTTTAGTGTTTACTATTGACTTTTTGATCGTTTGGCATGATTTACAAGAGTTACAAGAAAGCTATTTTGAGCACAGAATCCATGCTAGAGCATGAGAACGGTTTCATGAATATGAGCCCCGAACTACGTTCAACAATGGCGACGTCATCTCTGTGGCATTAGTATGCTACCAGTATGTGTAGTTCCAATCATCCCAATGGACAAGCAAACGGGATTTTTTAAATTTAACTTTTGAAACAGATGATGGTCTTAATTTCCGGACAAAATTTCCTCCTTTTTAGAATTCGCAATATATCATAATACTTAAGTGTAATCACAGTGGTGCAACGTTATTATTATCTTCGTTCACAGTAATAATTCTAATCAATTAAAAAAAGTCATAAATATAAGACAAATGCACTATTAGGCTTTTTCATTTTCCTTAATGAATTTTTTATGTCAGCGTAATTACAGGTTGGTATTTATTAACTGAAAATTGGCCATCTGTGTAACAAATATGTTTTCATCACATGCCAGATATCAAATATCATCGTTCTATAGCCCCCTATCGGATCCCTTCGGGCGTTTTATTGGGCACTAACAGATTCACTCCATACCCTCATATAACAACGTTTGTGGGAAGAGGTGTGGAGGTTATTTATCGGAATTTTCTATCTATATATATATATACATATCAATTATAATAAGTGTTGTACCGTAGGATTACACACTTCGGACGTATCTTGGAATGTTGGAGGAGTTCCCGAATTTTTTGGCGTTCTCTCTCGGAATATCAGTTTTCTCGTGTCTTGTTACTGAATACCAGATCTTTAGTGTTTATTGCAGAAAACAAGCTTTTTGTCTCTCCAGACACATAATTTAAAATAGTTACGAAATGGAAAGGACTTTCAAATAGACACACATATATATATATATCAAGGGCAAGCATAAAGGAAATTATCAGTATTTGAACAGCGAAATAAATATGAATCGCATCACTTGTTTTTATGGCATTCATAGTATAACTATATCGTGGGTTTGATTTTATTTTGTTTTATGTCCTATCAACAGCTTAGATCATATTTGTATATCGCGGGAATCATTTAAGGTATTACATTATGTATATATGTGTCAGTATGGCATTTATCTTATTCGTAGAAGTTACATGAGCTGTACAATGAATTAAAATCTTGGAATGAACAAATGAAAGTTGGTAACTAAAATGGTACACAGGTATTTGTTCTGAGTGTCACTATTGAAGAGAAAGAAACTGTTTTTGTTTTATTTTTTGCAATGGCATTTGAAATTTTGAAAATATCGAGCTTTTAGATTCTAGTGAAAGCATGTTGAATAAAGAGTGTACTTTTTACATATAAGACTTTTTGAATTTCTCAGTATTGCGCTCAACAAATTTGCCCGAAGCAGTTGACCTAGTTTATTTACAACTGTGGGCATTACTATTAAAAGGGACACTCCGGGATAGCAATTTGTCTCGGTAAAACAGCATTTGAAGATTTGCTAGAATGTAGCCTCCTAACCTGATATTTACTTTGGACAATAACAGTCACCAATGTACTAATAGAATGATTTTACCTTTCCATGGAAGTATAAAACAAACTATCTTTCTTCGCTGATGTAAATTACGTCCGGTCGGTAGATCTGTTTTCATATTTACTTGTAGGTCTCCATATCGAAGAACTTTATATATATCTATTTTTGTTGGTATCTCTGTGGAAAATTGTTTTTCATGTCAAGCATCTTTTTCTATCTTCTGGGTATCATCTCAAATACTTATCTAATTTCTCCTATTTCTTTTTTTCCATTTGACACTTTCTATTTGCTAAGATTGTTTTATTAATTTCAGTACATACTAGTATTTTGTAAGAAGTTGTACCTATTCCTCTTTTGTATAGTTTGAATATTTTGACATTTCCAATAAACACCACATGGAATTATTGCGTGTAAGCTAAGAAGACGGCAAGAGTTGTTCCCCTTGAACTAATATTCATTTCAAAAAGGCAATACAAACGTTTTAAAGCGATCATTTATTTTACAAAATATGGTAATTACATAAATATTAATAAATTGTACAAAAACAAAAATGAAGCGAATCAACAATGAAATACTATCCAAACGAGCGTCAATAAAATGTCAACAACATCACCTTATAAACAAAGACTCAACTGTCACTGTTCACTTTAACCGTATCATGTAAACCTCCTCAACGAACGATTTTAAACCCCAAGTTTTTTGCCAATTCGTCATCGCGTCTCTTTCTTCGATTTTCTCCACCCGACATTGGTGCCCTGTAAAAAAAAAAGAGTCTGCATTAGGTATTGGATACATATCAATAGGCATTATCTCCTTAGATAAACAATCCTTCCATGTCAAAAATATTTTTTTTTTCATTTTTTTTTTATGCTATAATTACACGTCTTGTACATATTCCTTAATCGACCTGATATCCTATCTGGCTAGTTTGTTTATTGTTCCTGGTAAAGGTGGTATTGCATCCAATTAATAAATATTTATTTCACGCATTATGATTACATAAAGAAGTATTAATTTGCCTAAAATTAATTCATAATAAGAGTCATTCAGGGTAAACGTTCAAACCCATTTGGCATGTCTATCGTTAAAGTTAACAAAGGCCGTATCTATACAGTTGATTTTGCATTATAAACATTAATGCATGAGGGGATTATATACGTCGTAGAAGAACAACATTTGATGAATCTCATATCTATTGAAGTATAAACTCTTACAATTAGATTTGAAAGGGTAAATATAATCTGATGATAAAGATTGGCTTACCGATGTATTTGTTGACCTCTTCTTCTGTGCAGTTGAAGGGTGGGCCTAAGAATAAAAAGAAAAAGTTACTCTTTATTTGTAGGTACTAAGTATGATATATCACGTTCATACATCCTTTACTTTTCCCGTTGGAGAAGATTTTGTTATTATTTTAATACAGAATTAACGAAATTAAACAAATAAGTCAAGGCTGTATAGTGGTTTTTTTTCTATCAATCGAAATCGTGTTATTTTATCGAGTATCACTATAAATGAGATAAACATAGGAACACAACATACCTACTATAAATAATAGTAGGCAATACTAAACAAAAGGGATCACGATACATCACATGCTCGAGTCGATCTTTAGATGTTAACCTAATCCAGGTTTATATTTGACAAAATTCATCCATTTAATAAATCTATTCTTGCATTATAAAGATATATCATTATCCATGCGGATATTTGTCACGATAACAATCACATCCTGTTCGTTTTATAGTTTCTATACCTTCCCTTAACTCATTGATGTGGTAAATAAACGGTCTACAATACAGAAACAAGGCGTCTCGCTTGACTTAGTCCCGGTAACAAACCTCTAGCTTCACCAGGTAATATACAGTTCGACTATAATAACTACACCAGGTGCTTATAACATACCTCCAAATATGTCGTTATTGACTAGGAAACAGTCGAGGAGATACCTTGTTTCATTTGTCATGATTGAAAGGATGATATCGGCATATCTGTTGAAAATAAAGTTTAATGAGTTTAGTCCATTGAGATATGGGAGGGACATCGCTTTCAAAGCGATCACAATATATGCACCTCAATTACATCGTACCTGGTACCGGCTCAGAACGCTTTAACGTACGTACAAACTTCAGGTTAACCACAATGACCAAACAATCATAAATATCATGTATATGAGCAAATTCTTCTGAAGATTAAAATAATTTTCACATCGTTATAATGTGCTGACGGAACCCGTAATTCATTATATAATGAACTGCAAAAACAACTTTACAACCTTGCAGACATGTATTATGCGTCTTTGAACTAAATCGAAATTCTCGAACCATTATACTGGCTAACACCAAATTAATATTTGTCATTCCAATTCAGAAAACCTAACATTAATCGCCCAGTTTTCGAAAATACGAAAGAAATTGCTATTGTGCATGAAGAGTGCCTTTGAGCGTTTGCATTTCATCGCAAATAAACACAAGTGTATATACACAAATATATATAGCTCGGAAGATCTGATTGACTGAAAAAGTTGTTTCAGTATGTTGTATAGATAACAATGTCAGTAAACGGGGCTTACTCTTGTCTCTTTTTAACAGGTACAGCAACGAGTGATCCTCGGTCCCACACACAATCAAATTCTCCAAGTTCCTTTCTGTATAGCAAAATACATACGGTACGTAACATATTTGAATTGTAAAAATATAATCTGATTTCGAATGAGTTTGGTACTTTAATTTTACCAAGACGTTTATTTATGCATAATTAAAAAAAAAACACCAAGAAATGTTAACGAAGGAACGAGGTCTTTAACATATTGTTTTACAGGCAGAAACAAAAACCGTTAACAATCAGAGCCTAGGGTATAAACATGATCCACAGTAATAAACAATCTACATTGTACATTGTCTAGAAGTTATATACTAAATTTGTTTTATTATATTTTGTCTCAGGTATCTATGTAATTATTGTGTACGTACCTTTGGAGCTGAAAGAAATCACCAACATAGAGGGACAACTTCCTGTCTGTCGCCTAGAGGAAGGAAAAAAAGAACGAACAATATAACATCAATGTTCAAATTTACCTATGTCATGTCTTAACATATATTCATACGAAACGTGATATTACATCATTTGACACAAAGACTTGTTGAGGGTATATTTGTAAGATAACATTTAAAGGCTGTGCAAAGTATGCCAATTAACAAAAGTTGTATAACTGACCTTTGCGGTACATTATATATTAGTTAATTTATGCGGCTATTGAATGACATGAAAACTGGGTTCACGTCCTTGATTATGCTATTTTCCGTATGACTAGAAATTAATAGGTGTTGCAGTAAGGGACCGATGTATGTTCTCGTTACGTGACAGCTGATTTATCTACTTAAGTATGAAGGTAGTAATTAGCAATCACGTTCGATTCCGATTTGTACCCTTGGGAATAAGTAGGACTTCAAGGCTCAATCGAGCGTTTTGTTCGCAGGGATTAATATAAACTCAAAAAGAATGTCGTTTTTTGTTGAGATCAATTGATACGTATCTGCGTATCAAATGAATAACGGTACACTGTAATAGGACACGATGACGCAGGCCTCACAAAAAGGTTTCCCTTTAATTTATGACTATTTAAAGCGTACTTGATCACGATTAAATATGTAAAATCTGTGTATCAATAGACATGAACATGTCAAATGACGTCGAAACTGTGAGAAAGTAAACAATGTAAGTAAACAATAAATAAAAACAAAATAACTTAATTATTATCACACGTCACAAGTGAACATAAAGCCGTTAAACGTTCTCCAGCACGTCTATGTTGTAACGGTTGTTTTCATTTGTCAATATTTGAAACATTTTGATAATTACACTCGCATAAAGTATTTACTCACAGTTCTAATGACTTTTGTGCAAAAATGTTTACAAATGAACAAAACTTTGCCAGTGCGTTCAGACTATCGTTCAAATTAAACACACACTGTAATTAGTAACAAGAAATGCATGTATTGTACACGTAAACGTGATATATTGCACATACGGTGTACCTAAGCAATCAATGATTTAGCAAATGTTGTTATGGTCCTATAACACATATTGCTATTGATGACAAAATAAATAAAGGGCTTTATGTAAGTTTGTCAGCAATAGAAATGTGTGTAATAGGATCATAACAATATTTGCTTAAAACTTTATTATTTATATTAACACTTTGATGGAGTAGTTACGCTCTATTCAGTTATTTCGAACAGTACTTTGAACAGCAAATTAAGTCTTGACAACAATAAAATTAATGACGTGACAATAGAAATTGATAACGCTCTAATATCAAATGTTGTTATAGTCTCATAACAACATTCGGCTTCTCAATGCATTGCCATGTACACCAATGACTGGCGTACACATTGTCAACACGGTGTTTACCTTGAGGAGAGTGCTCTTCACGTTTTGTCGGTATTCGGTGGTGTAAGGTATGCTGTCTCTTTCAAACACTTCTTTGCATCCAGCCTCTGAGCAGTCGCACCCAACTACCTCATGTCCCTGTTCCAGCAACCTGCGAGATAGAAAAGTTTTAATATAATTTGTATAGCTATCCGAATCGTAAAAGCATTGGGGACATTTACTAAAATTTACATTGAAATTGAAATCTGTGAAGTGTCAACTCTGGTAAAAACGCGTAGATTTCTACACGCGAATATTACCCGTACACTTGTATAGTGATGGGTATAACAGTTGTATTAAACAAAAAACATTATTCTTACCAATTCAAATCCATACTTTTCCCGCATAATGGTACAAAAAACCGAAGATTTTTTTTCCCATCTGTAAGCCGATCAATGCATTTCGACAACATCCTGAAAATAACAATAATTAACCAAGTGTAAACAAATACGATAGATGTGTTAGTAAAGGTCGATGTTCATGAGGTCACCAGCATTTCTCAGCTTTCAACCCGTTCTTGATACCCCAGAGGTAACGCTCAGTGCTCTCTACACAGAGTATAAGTGAGCGTAATGAACCCTTGGAGTATCGAGGATGGATTCAACGTTGGCGGAAAGGTGGTTTTGAGTTCGACTTTCGACTTCAAGAATAATCTGTATCGGACCTCTTAGATGTCGGAACAAATGCATAGATATTTGTTATTTCTGGCAGAATACATGTGCGGAATATACACACACATGTATAAACAGTCTGCTTTATGATATTTAAGATAGACAAATAACTCTTATGTTTTTCATCTGTAAAGGTATTCAAATCAGTATGAAATAATACAATAATAAAATAAAAAATAATTCAACATAGTAATTTCATATCTGTGTAAGGAATACGTACGGATGTACTTTGGGCATATGGAACTGTGTTTGTTTCTTCCCCCATCTCTCATTCCAGTCCTTACACGACATGTTTGTCGTATCCTCATAGTCCCCGAACTGGTTGACCTTCGGGCTCTTGCCCCTCGTTTCTGTAAAATGTCAGATGGAATAACACACATGGTACGGGTGTACATGCACATACATACTCACGATCACAATCAATGTACCTTTGACTACCAACCATCTTATGATGTCATTCTTTTAACTAGAAATAAATGAATAAAACTTATGTTCTCTATGGAATCTTTCTATATCCTCTTGCAATGACGTCATGGAGGGGATGTTCAAATTTGCATCTATCTAGCAATTTCATTTCTTAAAGGATCTTAATCAAACTTAATATATTTGTTAATTATGAAAATACTTCAACGGGTTCGTGTTGGAAGGTGCAAAGGTTATTGCTACTTAAACAAAACAGAGGATACGACCTACTCATGTATAAGTTTATTGAATGATTGCATTTTTTTCGTGTCTAATATTACAGTAGTATTTCTTAAGTGAAGGGTAGCTATACAAACATATCTAGTCAATTATCAGTGGAGGGGATTGCTAGTGTGAGACGTGACCAGCTCCTGTTAAATATAGTAACATTTGACCACTGACAAGGGATTTATATCGTTTGCGATGATTTGTTTTCAATTTGTAATACAGATATAAGTACATTGCGAAGCGAAACCTACGTATATCTCCTGCATTCCTCATCTTTTAACGGTTTCTGAAAAATCCCCGAGAAGTTACACTCACTCATGAAATATAACTTCTGTATTGAAATAAAAAATTAACTCCGACGTTATGTTTGTGACGTCACACTCTAAATGACGTCATAATCACCGAAAACTAGATCCAATTTCACTTTTAGTGCTAAAATGAAAATCGAATGTTGGTGTCTTCATAAATGGGAGGTGCAATATAAATATTGATACATGAATATGAACTGATTTAAAAAAAGGAGGTTTTGCATGTATATTTGAACATATTTGTCTGTTTTATTAAGCATAATACAAGGATATATTATAAAACATGTTCGGGTATACCAGTAGATAATCCGTTGCTGGCACTATAAACATTCACACAGTATCAGCCTTCGTTGATAAGACCATAATTCAGTCGTGGGAAATTTATTTAATCTTTATAACTATTAAGATACATTTTGTTATATATGTGACCGCGGAGATTAATGCTGATCAGACAAGCCTTTAAAGATGTCGGAAGCTTCGACACGCTCCAGAAATTATGATACATAAATAGCATAAAGGCGTTATAACCATGCGGTTATTTTGTCAAGTCATACCCACATAAAAATAGAACTGTAATTCTAACATGGATTAAGTCGTATGGATTTATTACAACGATAATGTGTACTTCAATATTACTATGTGAAATGTTTGTATTTTAACTTCGTATGTGATCTTAAATATTTAATGTACTGTACACCTTTAAATTATATTGAACCAGCTTATTTAATGCTTGATTGCATTCCGAATCTATGACAATGTCAAATTATTTGGAAGTATCTTGTATTTTACTATGCTTTAAAGTCACCGTTTGCATCCATCCGTGACCTTCCGGTTGTGATAAATATTCAATTTCATACTTGGTTTGGACAGCTTCTATTGACTGTAGGATGTATTGATTAAGCAGGGTGTTGATACGCAGAGTATGACCTATGAAATATTGAAGAGTCATGCTTTGAATTCGTTTTCTGACGGCGCTCTGTTTGCATTCCATACGCGTCCGTAAAAGTGCTGAGTCACCGAACGTATTTTCTACTCGAGTAAAAGTAAGCGAGAAGAAAATGTTATTTTCTCACGTCTTCGCATTTACATGGCAGATGATTTTGAACACGTTTTATAAGAGTCTATGTGAAAAATGAAATAAAATATCCCATTTCACGATAGTTAGATAACATGTAACATCAGAATAATAACCATCACGTGGTGTCTTTATAAATTCCCCGAAGTCATGGTCGCCATATCCCCCCTCAACTGTGATAGCCTGGTGATGGCTATAATATGATATCCTGGTTTCTATAGAACAAGACTATCAATTTCAATTTGGAGATAGAGTATTTGAAATTTTTGCAACGTCTTTCAAAATAATTAAGTGAAGCGATGTGCATTTTTTAAAAGCGAAGTTGATCATGTTTTTAATATCTAGAAAAAGGATAAAATGATATAAAAATTGAATTAAAACTTCCATAAAAGAGAGCATTCTATTCACTAACGTTACGAACTTCAAAGTTGCGTAAGTACTTTAGAATAGCCATTTCAACCTAACAGATAATTGTAAGCGACGATCCGTATTTACTCATAGATATATGTACATGACATTATATAATGTTATGATGGTGCAATTTTCACAAAATACATTTTAATTCAACTTTCCTACCCAATTAATATACGTTTACAAAGACTTTCATCACCAGCTGTGTACCGTGCCAGGCTGCACGTAGTACGATATTACATACGGTTCATGAGCAGATGAATTGGATGAACAAATATGCTTCGTCACTACCGGTATATCGTTATGTTTGTCCGGCGAGTATGGTAAAACATGGTATCAAGTGATACATGTACCCGGTCACCCGAAAACTGATGGGGATTCCTGATGAAATGCAGTCGTGCATACGATAGTTAAGACAGACTGGACTTTACCTACAATAAATCGCCTTATATAAATAAAGGATGCACTGCAACATTTCTTTAGAACTGATGACCTTAAAGATATCCATGCACTTTGCAGAGTGTACGGGACATTACACAATGGTTCCTATGGCTAGTTTAATGTACGCATTGTGTCTTATGACGTTGTGTACAGTGCAAAGTGTACTGCAGTTTGGGATAAGTATACAAACGATTTCTTATTAAAGATCGTTTTGATGTTAAATTTTATAGTCAAGCTATGCAATGATAATTGTCATTTTATTTTCGATACATAAGAAGAACTAGTATCCTTTCAATACGGGATGACTATTTGGATGACTTTGTCGTATCTATTTGTCTGGGTGACTTCGTTCCATATGTGTGTCTGGCTAACTTTGTTCCATATGTGTGTTTGTGTGACTTTGTCCTATCTATTTATCTGGGTGACTTTGTCCTATCTATTTGTCTGGTCGACTTCGTTCCATATGTGTGTCTGTGTGACTTTGTCCTATCTATTTATCTGGGTGACTTTGTCGTATCTATTTGTCTGGGTGACTTCGTTCCATATGTGTGTCTGGATATCTTTGTTCCATCTGTGTGTCTGGGTGACTTTGTTCTATCTATTTGTCTGGGTGACTTTGTTCTATCTATTTGTCTGTGTGACTTTGTCCTATCTATTTGTCTGGGTGACTTTGTTCCATCTGTGTGTCTGGGTGACTTTGTCCTATCTGTGTGACTGGGTGACTTTGTCCTATCTATTTGTCTGGGTGACTTTGTCCTGTCTATTTGTCTAGGTGATTTCGTTTCATATATGTGTCTGAATAACTGTGTTCCATCTATGTGTCTGGGTGACTTTGTCCTATCTATTTGTCTGTGTGACTTTGTCCTATATATTTGTCTGAATAACTTTGTTCCATCTGTGTGTCTTGGTGACTTTGTCCTGTCTGTGTGTCTGGGTGACTTTGTCCTATCTATTTGCCTGGGTGATTTCGTTTCATATTTGTGTCTGGATATCTTTGTTCCGTCTGTGTGTCTGAGTGACTTTGTCCTATCTATTTGTCTGGGTGACTTTGTCATATCTATTTGTCTGGGTGACTTTGTCCTATTTATTTTTCTGGGTGACTTTGTCCTATTTATTTGTCTGGGCGACTTTGTCCTATCTATTTGTCTGGGTGACTTTGTTCTATCTATTTGTTTGGGTGACTTTGTCCTATTTATTTGTCTGGGTGACTTTGTCCTATCTATTTGCCTGGGTGATTTCGTTTCATATTTGTGTCTGGATATCTTTGTTTCATCTGTGTGTCTGAGTGACTTTGTTCTATCTAGTTGTCTGGGTGACTTTGTCCTATCTATTTGTCTGGATGACTTTGTCCTATCTATTTGTCTGGGTGACTTTGTCGTATCTATTTGTCTGGGTGACTTCGTTCCATATGTGTGTCTGGGTATCTTTGTTCCATCTGTGTGTCTGAGTGACTTTTTTCTATCTATTTGTCTGGGTGACTTTGTCCTATCTATTTGTCTGTGTGACTTTGTCCTATATATTTGTCTGAATAACTTTGTTCCATCTGTGTGTCTTGGTGACTTTGTCCTGTCTGTGTGTCTGGGTGACTTTGTCCTATCTATTTGTCTGTGTGACTTTGTCCTATCTATTTGTCTGAATAACTTTGTTCCATCTGTGTGTCTTGGTGACTTTGTCCTGTCTGTGTGTCTGGGTGACTTTGTCCTATCTATTTGTCTGTGTGACTTTGTCCTATATATTTGTCTGAATAACTTTGTTCCATCTGTGTGTCTGGGTGACTTTGTCCTATCTGTGTGACTGGGTGACTTTGTCCTATCTATTTGTCTGGGTGATTTCGTTTCATATTTGTGTCTTGATATCTTTGTTCCATCTGTGTGTCTGAGTGACTTTGTTCTATCTAGTTGTCTGGGTGACTTTGTCCTATCTATTTGTCTGAGTGACTTTGTCCTATCTATTTGTCGCTATAGTTTTGATTGTTCCATGTGACTTTGTCCTATCTATTTGTCTGGGTGACTTTGTCATATTTATTTGTCTGGGAGACTTTGTCCTATCTATTTGTCTGGGTGACTTTGTTCTATCTATTTGTCTGTGTGACTTTGTCCTATCTATTTGTCTGGGTGACTTTGTTCTATCTATTTGTCTGTGTGACTTTGTCCTATCTATTTGTCTGAATAACTTTGTTCCATCTATGTGTCTGGGTGACTTTGTCCTATCTATTTGTCTGGGTGACTTTGTCCTATCTATTTGTCTGGGTTATTTCGTTCCATATGTGTGTCTGGATATCTTTGTTCCATCTGTGTGTCTGGGTGACTTTGTCCTATCTATTTGTCTGGGTGACTTTGTCCTATCTATTTGTCTGGGTGACTTCGTTTCATATTTGTGTCTGGATATCTTTGTTCCATCTGTGTGTCTGAGTGACTTTGTTCTATCTATTTGTCTGGGTGACTTTGTCCTATCTATTTGTCTGGGTTATTTCGTTCCATATGTGTGTCTGGATATCTTTGTTCCATCTGTGTGTCTGGGTGACTTTGTCCTATTTATTTGTCTGGGTGACTTTGTCCTATCTATTTGTCTGGGTTATTTCGTTCCATATGTGTGTCTGGATATCTTTGTTCCATCTGTGTGTCTGGGTGACTTTGTCCTATTTATTTGTCTGGGTGACTTTGTCCTATCTATTTGTCTTGGTGACTTTGTTCTATCTATTTGTTTGGGTGACTTTGTCCTATTTATTTGTCTGGGTGACTTTGTCCTATTTATTTGTTTGGGTGACTTTGTCATATCTATTTGTCTGGGTGACTTCGTTCCATACGTGTGTCTGGATATCTTTGTTCCATCTGTGTGTCTGGGTGGCTTTGTCCTATTTATTTGTCTGGGTGACTTTGTCCATTCTATTTGTCTGGGTGACTTCGTTCCATATGTGTGTCTGGATGTCTTTGTTCCATCTGTGTGTCTGAGTGACTTTGGTCTATCTATTTGTCTGTGTGACTTTGTCCTATTTATTTGTCTGGGTGAGTTTGTCCTATCTATTTGTCTGGGTGACTTTGTCCTATCTATTTGTTTGGGTGACTTTGTCCTATTTATTTGTCTGGGTGACCTTCTCCTATCTATTTGTCTGGGTGACTTCGTTCCATATGTGTGTCTGGATAACTTTGTTCCATCTGTGTGTCTGGGTGACTTTGTCCTATTTACTTGTCTGGGTGACTTTGTCCTATCTATTTGTCTGGGTGACTTTGTCCTATTTATTTGTCTGGGTGACTTCGTTCTGTCTATTTGTCTTGGTGACTTTGTCCTATCTATTTGTCTGGGTGACTTTGTCCTATTTATTTGTCTGGGTGACTTTGTCCTATTTATTTGTCTGGGTGACTTTGTCCTATCTATTTGTCTGGGTGACTTCGTTCCATATGTGTGTCTGGATAACTTTGTTCCATCTGTGTGTCTGGGTGACTTTGTCCTCTCTATTTGTCGCGATAGTTTTGATTCATGTGTGTGTTGTTGGGTTACTTTGTTCCATCTGTGTGTCTGGGTGACTTTGTCCTCTCTATTTGTCGCGATAGTTTTGATTCATGTGTGTGTTGTTGGGTTACTTTGTTCCATCTGTGTGTCTGGATGACTAAGTGGATATCTTTGTTCCATCTGTGTGTCTGGGTGACTTTGTCCTATCTGTGTGTCTGGGTGACTTTGTCCTATCTATTTGTCTGGTTGACTTTGTCCTATCTATTTGTCTGGTTGACTTTGTCCTATCTGTGTGTCTGGGTGACTTTGTCCTATCTATTTGTCGCTATAGTTTTGATTCATGTGTGTGTTGTTGGATTACTTTGTTCCATCTGTGTGTCTGGATGACTAAGTTCTATTTATATGAATCACTCTGTGCTATCATTTTATCTGGATCACTTTGTCCTATCTTTTCGTCCGGATGTCCTTGTCCTATCATTTTGTCCGGGTGTCTTGGTTTTATCTATTAAGTCTGAGTGACTTTGACTTAACTGACTATTTGTAAGGGTAATTGGCTTGGGTGATTTTGTTTTTATGAGTGTCTGGATGTTTCTATCTGTCTGGGTTACTTTGTTACAATGTTTGTTTGTTTTGGAGATTTTGTTTTATGTTTGTCTGCGTAATCATGTCTTTCCTTTTGTCTCGCAATTTGTCAAATGTGAAGCAATAATAAAGAATCAAAATACGACGACAAGTGTTTAAACAAGGAATTAAATGTCAACTAAGTGTCGGTCTTAATTCAAACGGACACATAATCTATCTAGGAGCAATGGTGAAAAGCATTACCGAAATGTTTTTATGTACCGTAATGTTTGGGTCTAATGCCCCCCTTATACTTCTAATCCTTTTCTCACCTAGACAGCAAAGGTAAAACTGAATTTCACTATAGCTGTATGAGTCATGAGGCTAAATATGGTATTATCTTTTTATGTATGTTTATATAGTTAATCAAAATAAAATGCACCGTCATTGCCTTAACAGGACATAGTGACGCTCACATCTTGTATCAGGTTTTATCAGAGATTGCCTTCTTTGTTCAAATAGTAATTTTTATAATGAGACTTTATAACCCTTAGATGTCCATTTACATACAAAGTTTAACAGGCACATAAGATTTCGTTAAATACCGGGTCAAATATCGTGTATATGCGATATAACTTATGTTGTACGGTGTTGATATACCGGCTTCAATTTTTGCTGAATCATGATAGGGTTACATAATAAATCACTCAGTCAGAATTACCTGTACTTACTTCTTAATAAGGACTTTAAAAGTCCACCCTTTAGTCAAATGTCGCTCTTTCACCAACTGGTAGTCTCTTAAAATAGGTTTATGATATTATATCTAAGATTCTCCACTATTTCTGGCGTTAGACGTCTCTATTCGTCAATGAGGTACATGTAACACTGGATTATAATAACTGTCTCCTATTACCTATGGGTATTTAAATGAATGTAGCTCGTGGTATATTACATGTGAATACTAGAGTTCGTTTTGTGTATTATATGACATAAAGAAGTTAATTAGGAGGTCGAGTATCTATCACCTTAGAACGACCGTTATTTATTTCATTAATTAAATGTTTAATCCTTTTGGTTTTTTCTTTTACCTACCAATAATATGCTTGCAATATCTATCGTCAAACGACTGAAACATTTGATTCAAAGAGAGTAAATATCATGGTATTTTAAAAATTATTTTGCACGCATCTCATAAAAAAAATAAGTGAAATTATGCAAGCTTCACGATACAAAAAAGAAACAAACTACATATAGGTACATTGTTTAAAAAAACAAGTTTGACACACTCGTGTCATGATTATATAACAAATATATTGATTTGAGGATTAGATTCATCGGCTAGATAGTAAAGCTCGTTAATGATATACAAGCAGTAAGTCATACTGCGTACCACTCTCTAATTAAGTGTTTATATTACTGTATGGGTTCAGGTAGGTATAACACGTTAATCACTTAAACTAGACCACATCCTGTTCGTATTTTGAATTATTGATAGTTTGAATGGATATGGATGCCATCATCCGGTTTCAGGTCGGCCCTATACATGTTTTATTTGTCAAACAATAGCAACAACACTGTCAGTGAAATTGATTTGAAAAAAAAAACCATCCTTCATCTTCATATATGTAGCATCGACGTTTACGGATTGGTTGGTAGGGTCGTGTGCAGTAGTGTGTTGTTATGTACAGTGATTGAATATTCTTTTTTAGAATTTGCTGTATGATTAAAAAGAGGTTAAAAATCGTGTGTGTTAGTTGTGTGGTGCATGTTCTGAATTCTGCTAGTGTTTTGATTGTATGATTGTTTTGGTTAGGAGGTTCCACTGTGTTATGGTGTATGTCTGTAACTAAGGTCGTGTCGTTTACGTGTTCTGGTGTCTACGGAGATGAGATTATTTGTGTGTATTGCTTCTTGTTGGTGTAATATTTTGTAGAGAAGAAATTTAATCTTCTTTATAATACAGAAACAGAAACAATTACATGACACAAATAGTAAACAGAAAATAAACAGTAATTTGTAACAATCAGGTACAACATAATGTTGAACAGTGACGACTTAATGTTGTGCATGCGTATCTTAATGCACATCTCTTTGACTGGCAGGGCGCCGAAGGTTATTTGTTTTGTTAAATCCATCTTTTAATTGTGTATCATTAAATTGTTGTAATGAATTCATTGATAAAATTTGTACATGAAAATAGTTGATATGTCTTAAAAAGCAGTTGCAATATATAGGATCGAAGCAAAATTTGAAAAAAGGCAAAGAAAGAAAAGAAAAGAAAAGAAATGAAAAATTATAAGAGGTTCCCAGGCCGCGACCTACGTAACATCCTTAACATAAAATACAGGAAAAAGATTGTGATATCCGTAAAAACAACGGATACATATAATATGGTATAAATCGGGCGCGTTATTTACAGTGATATACAGTTGCAGTTGTGATAAATATGACGACGTTTAAATTAGACAGTACATATATTGGAAAAAAGATACGTGTAGTTGTAAAACAAATCAGACTGTATTTAAATAAAATAGAAAGACTATATTTATGTTACATTGTATAAACGCCATGGCAACGCACAATTAAACAGTAAATAGCCTTGCACGCCCGGTCGTTTTGTACTAGTTTTACACTTAATGCATATATACACGACACTTTCTTTTACCAACGTGGTCTATAATTGTAATTTTTGACAGCGCAAACAGTATGTGAAGTTTCCATCACTTTCTGTTAATCAGGAGTTTGGCTATACATGCACAGGTGATATGACAGGTGTGGACACAAGAATAAAGAACGAGAACCAGTAAATCACAACTGTAGCTGCATCGCTGACTTAAATAATTCAGCCTTCACTTCCTATTAATGAAATAAATTCTAAATACCTGTTATGCTGCTTGGAGATTTAGAATAAATTATTATTTTTTTCTCAGTCATATTTTGTGGAGAAATTAGAAATCATATTTAACACGTTTCGCCGGGAACATGTGCGAATGTACATTCATTTATTGAAAGTATTGTCTTTGTCAACTTACGCCGATTTTAGCGTAAACCTACCGAAATGTCATTTGTCAACACAATATACTAGTCTTCTTCGCATTTGATATATCATAACGCTTGTAAATGTGAAAATATCGGAACTATTTGAGTCTTAAATTAATATTTAATTCGCACTTACCATCTATCACATTGGCATTCGACATGTTTCTGTGCTGTTCTGTCCGGTCTAGTAGGATGCTGTTCGGTCTAGTAAACTGCAAGTGTCGTCTGCTTCTCCGCAAGCACTGTTTAAGAGCTGTCAAGGTGTTGACCTGAGCTTGAACCTATGGAAGGAAAATGACAAATATGAACACTTACACTAAACACACATCTGATCGTGTAAACAATGACGCGACTGCGGTAAATAGGCAAACACATTACGGTTAACCTGTGTGCTCGGAGTAACCCCCCGTGTTACGGAAGCAGGTCTACGTCAACTATTTATGATCGACACTGTTCTCATTAGTATAGTTTAAGTTAAAAACGATAACATAAATATCAGTACTAGCCAGAGAAATACATTACGAAGTGGACACACTCTTAATTACATAAAAGAGGCAATACAGTTGGGCAGTTATACTATTATTTTCTGTAAATTGTACTTTTCAGAGTTATAACGACACAAAACTACAACACAATTCACTGACGTTCCTAATAAGAATAATCAAAACGCGTAATGAAAATTAAACAAGGTTTCGTGCTGTCAAGATGAGCACAATAGTTTTTTAATGTATCAAAAAATTGCCCTTTTCGGTTTACCATGCAAATCAAAGATGAACAAACAGAATGCGCAAATGGCTATTATGACTGTCTTACAAGTTAGAAGTTGTATTCCGAAAAATATATATCATATAAATTAGAGTCAGCTTCCTTGGACTATAAAACAGTATATGACTATCAGCCGTAATATGTACCGTAACGATATATATTACAGCTAAATTAAACAAATAAGATAATTAAGTAATACTAAACGTGTTCCTAGCATCAAATGTATACATATCACCGCAGGCAATTAGTCTATAGTATATAAATGAATCGGATGGATCCGAGCTACCTGAACGGCGTCTACACACAGAGTTAGCAATTACCTGCCTGTTGAAGAGCCTGTCGACGAGTACCTCTCTTTACCTTCGCTGTCAGGAATTAAAGACTGAGTCCCGCCGTGCCAGCATGACGAAGGGAAATTAAACCCATTCACTGAATTATAATACCACGTGTTGTAACCCTTTTTAAACCCGTGCAGCAAACACTATACGTACACAAGTATATAAATATACCTAGATGGTGGTATACCTGTAGGGTACCGGTACTGCCTGTACAGAAGCTGCTCCAGGGAGTGCAAGTGTCCTCAGAGATGCTAAAACACACTATCCCTGACTGTTACGTAAAGATGTTATCAGAGTTAGGGACACTGTAACACACAGACACTCTCATGGCGTAATAACAAAGTATATCAGTAAATTTGTTCCGTCCATAATTTATACATGTGACAAAATTAGGATTTTACAATCCTTTGACAGTCAGCTTTGAAATTAAAAAAAATGAATAAAAAGTTGCGACGTTTTAATTTCGTTTTTTTCTTATTATTTAAAACTGTATTTCTGCGCTTGGTTTTGCCAGTGTTCATCTAATTTATATTCAAATAGTTTAGCTCTATTTACTATCCATATTCCTTTATATCACACATTGTTCTATTGATGTTAAGTAAACAATTCAAATGGAATTTAGATATAATGTTTAGTAAACAATGACCAAGTGTAACGTCAAAAGGAAGTTTGTTAAAATAATAAACCTTATAACGTTATCACTTCAGTGATAGCTACTGTGGCGTGCAATCGGTGCATATGTTCTGAATAACACTATGAACATACATCTGGTAAAATTACATTGTCAAGAGTGTATGTTAAATCGAACTATTTTCCCAATTGCGTATTTATATCAGTCCAGTGATACGTTGTCTGGAGTTAAGTTATCTTTGTCCGACACAGCGTCATTTCAGTAGTACCATAGGTTGGTACGTGGTAACGATAATTAGTTTAGTGAAGTAATTTTGACTAGATTGATCCAACAACTCGTTAGTTCAGTAGAAGGATATGTTGGTGAGTGGTTTAATGAAGTTATTTTGACTAGGTTGATCCAACAACTCGTTAGTTCAGTAGTACGATATGTAGGTGAGTAGTTTAGTGAAGGTATTTTGACTGGGTTAATTTGACACCTCGTTAATTCATTAGTACGATATGTAGGTGTGTGGTTTAGTGAAGGTATTTTGACTGGGTTAATTTGACACCTCGTTAGTTCAGTAGAACGATATGTTGGTGAGTAGTTTAGTGAAGGTTTTTTGACTAGGATGATCCCACACATCGCCAGTTCAGTAGTACCATATGTTGGTGAGAGTGGTTTAGTGAAGTTATTTTGACTAGGTTAATCCAACAACTCGTTAGTTCAGTAGTACGATATGTAGGTGAGTGGTTTAGTGAAGGTATTTTGACTAGGTTGATCCGACACCTAGTTAGTTCAATAGAACGATATGTTGGTGAGTGGTTTAGTGAAGGTATTTTGACTAGGTTAATCAAACAACTCGTTAGTTCAGTAGAACAATATGTTGGTGAGTGGTTTAGTGAAGGTATTTTGACTAGATTGAAGCGACACTTCGCCAGTTCAGTAGAACGACATGTTGGTGAGTGGTTAAGTGAAGTTATTTTGACTAGGTTGATCCGACACCTCGTTAGTTCAGTAGTACGATATGTTGGTGAGTGGTTTAGTGAAGGTATTTTGACTAGGTTGATCTAACACCTCGTTATTTCAATAGTACGATATGTTGGTGAGTGGTTTAGTGAAGGTATTTTGACTAGGTACATCCAACACCTCGTTATTTCAGTAGTACGATATGTTGGTGAGTGGTTTAGTGAAGGTATTTTGACTAGGTTAATCCAACAACTCGTTAGTTCAGTAGAACGATATGTTGGTGAGTGGTTTAGTGAAGGTTTTTTGACTAGGTTGATCCAACACCTCGTTAGTTCAGTAGTACCATATGTTGGTGAGTGGTTTAGTGAAGTTATTTTGACTAGGTTGATCCGACACCTCGCCAGTTCAGTAGAACGATATGTTGGTGAGTGGTTTAGTGAAGTTATTTTGACTAGGTTGATCCAACACCTCGTTAGTTCACTAGTACCATATGTTGGTGAGTGGTTTAGTGAAGGTATTTTGACTAGGTTGTTCCAACAACTCGTTATTTCAGTAGTACGATATGTTGGTGAGTGGTTTAGTGAAGGTATTTGGACTAGGTTGATCCAACAACTCCTTATTTCAGTAGTACGATATGTTGGTGAGTGGTTTAGGGAAGGAATTTTGACTAGGTTGATCCAACACCTCGTTATTTCAGTAGTACGATATGTTGGTGAGTGGTTTAATGAAGGTTTTTTGACTAGGTTGACCCAACAACTCCTTATTTCAGTAGAACGATATGTTGGTGAGTGGTTTAGTGAAGGTATTTTGACTAGGTACATCCAACACCTCGTTATTTCAGTAGTACGATATGTTGGTGAGTGGTTTAATGAAGGTTTTTTGACTAGGTTGACCCAACAACTCCTTATTTCAGTAGTACGATATGTTGGTGAGTGGTTTAGTGAAGGTATTTTGACTAGGTTGATCCAACACCTCGTTATTTCAGTAGTACGATATGTTGGTCAGTGGTTTAATGAAGGTTTTTTGACTAGGTTAACCCAACAACTCCTTATTTCAGTAGTACGATATGTTGGTGAGTGGTTTAGGGAAGGTATTTTGACTAGGTACATCCAACACCTCGTTATTTCAGTAGTACGATATGTTGGTGAGTGGTTTAGTGAAGGTATTTTGACTAGGTTAATCCAGCAACTCGTTAGTTCAGTAGTACCATATGTTGGTGAGTGGTTTAGTGAAGGTATTTTGACTAGGTTAATCCAACAACTCTTTAGTTCAGTAGTACGAAATGTAGGTGAGTGGTTTAGTGAAGGTTTTTTGACTAGGTTAATACAACAACTCGTTAGTTCAGTAGAACGATATGTTGGTGAGTGGTTTAGTGAAGTTTTTTCGACTAGGTTGACCCGACACCTCGTTAGTTCAGTAGTACCATATGTTGGTGAGTGGTTTAGTGAAGGTATTTTGACTGGGTTGATCTGACACCTCGTTAGTTCAGTAGAACGATATGTAGGTGAGTGGTTTAGTGAAGGTATTTTGACTGGGTTGATCTGACACCTCGTTAGTTCAATAGTACGATATGTTGGTGAGTGGTTTAGTGAAGGTATTTTGACTAGGTTGATCTGACACCTCGTTAGGTCAGTAGTACGATATGTAGGTGAGTGGTTTAGTGAAGGTATTTTGACTGGATTGAAGCGACACTTTGCCAGTTCAGTAGAACGATATGTTGGTGGGTGGTTTAGTGAAGTTATTTTGACTAGGTTGATCCGACAACTCGCCAGTTCAGTAGAACGATATGTTGGTGAGTGGTTAAGTGAAGTTATTTTGACTAGGTTGATCCAACACCTCTTTAGTTCTGTAGTACGATATGTTGGTGAGTGGTTTAGTGAAGGTATTTTGACTGGATTGAAGCGACACTTCGCCAGTTCAGTAGAACGATATGTTGGTGGGTGGTTTAGTGAAGTTATTTTGACTAGGTTGGTCCGACAACTCGCCAATTCAGTAGAACGATATGTTGGTGAGTAGTTAAGTGAAGTTACTTTGACTAGGTTGATCCAACACCTCTTTAGTTCTGTAATACGATATGTTGGTGAGTGGTTTAGTGAAGGTATTATGACAAGGTTGATCCGACACATAAGTAGGTCAGTAGTACCATATGTAGGTGAGTGGTTAAGTGAAGTTATTTTGACTAGGTTGATCCAACACCTCGCCAGTTCAGTAGTACCATATGTTGGTGAGTGGTTTAGTGAAGGTATTTTGACTAGGTTGATCCAACACCTCGTTATTTCAGTAGTACGATATGTAGGTGAGTGGTTTAGTGAAGTTATTTTGACTAGGTTGATCCAACACCTCGTTAGTTCAGTAGAACGATATGTTGGTGAGTGGTTTAGTGAAGGTATTTTGACTGGGTTGATCTGACACCTCGCCAGTTCAGTAGAACGATATGTTGATGAGTGTTTATAATTAGAGAACTATAAACAAATGAAATCAACATCTGACTTATGATTGACAGTTGGTCTGCTACTGTTCAGCCACTGCGATCGATAATTACATAAAGCAACGCATCCTATACGTTTATAGCCGTTGGGCATTTAGGTAGCGTTGCGGACGAACACACGCGATGAAAAAAAGAAGAGTTTATTATCAGTATTCGTAATATCAATAACACTTCTGTGCGTCAAAATATTCCGCAATACACATTGTGTTACGTCGTTAATGCCATGCAGTATATTTTCAGCTAGGCATTCATAACCGATATTATTTTTCTAAATTAATGGTTCTTCTTAATCAGCGGATATATTACTTAAATAGCATTCTTAATCAGGTGATGCTGACGACCGTTTTCTTGACTTGGGCGTATCCAAGGGAAGGCTGTCTACAATTGTATGTAGATTACTAGATGGCGCATCAAGTCAGAAAATCTGAACTATATGGATAGTCTCTAATCTAGTAAATCAGCTGAACCACACAAACTTCACAAGTGAGGGAGGTTGGTATGTTGCTATTGAAACCAGTTAATGAGCGTTATGTGGGTGATAGAGTTGAAAGTCATGTAATCTTTTCTATTATAACCCACCCCTGCAGGTTGGGGATCGAGAAAAAAATATACCTGCTGCTACCCACTGTATGTATCGTAAGAGGCGACTAATGAAGGAACCCCCTGCAGAGTTGGGGGATTTGCTTTTGTGCCCTACACTTTAGTACACAAATGCGACTGAAATAAATCTGCTGCACCAATTGCAGTGGTTAGTAATTTGATATGTTTCTATTAAATCGTTTGATTTGTTCAAGCGTTTGACAAAATAATTCTTATTTCCTTTTTTTGAATTACACAAAAAACAACACGAAAATAGTAACCACACTACTTAATGTGTAAATAATGATTTTCAAAGAAGCATCTAGACTTGTTGATTATTCCTGCTAGCAAACCTAGCATGAGTGTTTCGGGAATATGCACTTTTATAACTAAAAGAAGCGAGATATGTTATTAATATAAGAAACGAGTTTAACTGAATGTTACGAAAAT